TGGTAATATTTATTTTATTTTAATAACTTAAGATTTTATTCCAATGCTGGCGGTTAAAAAGTAATATTTCATGTATTTATTCAAGTAACAGTTATTAATTAGGTACCTACCTAGTACCTACTTATTTTTAATATTAAGTTTATAAATTGTTACTATATTAGTATTTAATATTGGGAACATTTATTAATTTAAGTTAAAATTTTATGTATTAATACAGACAAAAATATATAAGAACTGTTGTCTCCTCCATAAACTTAGGCTTTTGGTAACAATAAGTCTTACCTATTGTATTGTAACCATGTAAAAAATAAAATGTTTGTTATTGTTATTATTAATAATAAACTATTATCATTATATGCACAGGCTAGGTTTAAATCATAGAACTTGAATATGAAACAATTAATTTTAGTTTATCAGGAGACTTGTGTAACACTTACTTTCCTGAAAGTACCAACGATAAGCTGTCAACCCTCGTTACCTTTTCTTCAGCAAATATCTCAAGAGTCTTAAGAGGTCGTATCATTTTCATGCAGGAAATTATCTTCCTAAATTGCTTACGGCTAACTTTTAAAGGGTAGAAAAGCGTTTCATACACCTAAAAAATATATGATAAAATATCAAGTAATTTAAGAAAATGTCAACGCCCAATTTGAATTTCTCTATCTGACCCATTTGCAACATAGCAAATTTGCGTTCAACAGAACCAATCTTGTGTTGTATTATTTCAATTTTAGAGTGACTTGATTGATAATATTATGTTCTTAACTATTATCAATCAAGTCAATTAACTCTGTTCTTACATTTCCTTTTTTATAATACCTACCTGAATTAATTTAAAAACATGATATGGGTATTTTAAAATTGAAATATTATAAATAGCCAACATAAGAACAAAATGCTCTTAATTTTAAGTTTGATCATAGGTAAATTCACTGTTATACTTAAACTAATACCTAACACATGGTTAATTCTGTTTAACACAAATTGTCAATGTTCCCGTGAAAGAGTTAACAATTACTCTTAAAAAAAAATCAATAAATTTACTAGTTCTAATTCATCATTAAATTTGATCGGCCTGAGTTGATAGAATAACACTAAAATGTGTATGACGTTGACAGCAGCAGAAGCAGCATTCCATAAAAGGCTGTCAACCCAGCACTGGACATTCCTAGCCCATAATGCCATAATGGTAGTGGCACCAGCCAGGCCAATGCGAATGAGGAGAATCAACTGACAAGGAGATCCAAATGGTAACATGAAGCAAATAAACATGATGGCATGTGAAAAATGAAAATAAGGATGGTTGAACACCGAATGTAAACATGTCTGGCTGAGCATGGCCACGGTGATAGAGTCCAGCACAGCACCTAATGGCGCCACAACTGTGCTGTTTCCACAGCCTCCGCCATCGTAACAACTGTAGTTACCTAAAACACGATCATTATTGTCGGACATCGGTGTCGTTAGGATGGATGGTGAACAACAAATTAAGGTAAGGTCTTACCTTCAGATTGAGCAGTCCCGTTGACGTCGTCCAAATCCATTATCGTTGTGTTTTTTATCAGCTATTATTTAACGTGGGAGTAGGTACCGTCGTCGTTACAATATTTTTTATCTCCGACGTTGAGGCTCTAGAAAAAATGGTACACTGCCGATTTCGATCATTCTGCGACGCGATTAATGACTATCGACGATGAACATGCGAGCTGATCAAGAGCGGCCGGCCGAGAATCGATAACACACGTCGCATTTACGATTGCCGGCCACAAACTGTATAGTTGTCGACGTTTCCCGCTCCAGACGGACACCAGTCGCCCCTCATAGAAATAAAAGCCCTCGTCCAAAACCGTCGTTAGTCGTTATTGCAATCGCATTCACGTCGTCGTCGTCGTCGCCGCCGTCGATCTGCACCGCCGTACATCGTCGTGGTGCATGCAGCCTGCAGGTGACTGCGAATTAGAGATAATCTATCTTGGCCGGTCGCAGCGGTTTTTCCGACGGATGACTAGACTATCTATAAATTGCGAATAACTGTCGGCACTCGGCAGACGACGTCGTGACTAGGAACTCTTGACATTTAATATTTATGTGTCGTTACGTAATTTACAACAATAATTGCGAATTGCGATCATAAACGATATCGTCTCGCGTTCGCGCAGCTGCTGATGCTGCAGCCGTTGAGGGGGAAGGAGAATGGGAATAATATGGGATACAGGGAAAACAACGATAATACGAGGTCGACAATCACGCTGGACACCGCGGCGACGGACGCGCGTACTATATTATTATTTCTTCGCGGTACGGCGCCTGGTTATGCTGTAACGCCTGTAACCACTGACTGACAACTGTATAGCCATTAGCCACTAGTCTAGTAATAAGCCACTAACTCACAACTCTGAACTCAGTCACAGAACAATGGTCTTGAATCTA